CTGAAGGAATGAAATTACTGTTTATTTTGCTGAATTTGCGCTGAAGGAATGAAATGACTGTTTATTTTGGTGAATTTGAGCTGCCGAAGCTGCCGAAGCTGCCGTAAGAAAACAAGAAATTAGGAAAAGTTGTTCTAAGTAAGTTTATATTGTCTATAAGTAAGTTTATATTTAATTTTACAACAGCCTTCCGAAAAAAGTTCCAGTTTAAATTATTTTCATGCTGAAAGTTCCAGTTCTCGTTTTAAGGACCCCGGTACGTACGGTTGCTGTTTATTATCATTATTTTATTTTTTTGTGCTGACATCGCTTTGGCGAGAGACCTCGAAAAATCTGATGCGCGTTTAACGTTCACACATCCAATTTACATGCTAGCGGCGCTAGTAAGTAAAGCAAAAATGCGCCTGACGAGACGACCTAACGCATGCGTAACCATCAATCATCGTTCTACTCACAATTTAGATTCCCTCTCCAACGCTTGCTCCGGACCGAACTGCTTTTTCCTGTCTGCTAATCCGGAATCTTGCCTCAGGAACAACTCCTAATTGTTCTGTGATTGATAACTGAATTTATGGTGGTCATACACACTTCACTAAATCTACTTGGAGTGTTGGCTGCTCCGTCCAAATCTTTTCTAATCACGATCCCCTAATTGAATTTTACGAATTTCTCAACGCTTCAGAGACTCTTGAAGTCCGTGTAGCATCTATACAAACGGTTGGATCAATAAATTTTGAAAAAAATTTGGATCAAATTTCTATGAGGTTGATTTTCGGGAGGTGCACCATTCGATACTACTATGGCAGTGCTTTCTGTAAGAACCAGATAATCTTGGCGAAAACTCTCCTTAGATTTTTGCAGAATTGATGCACAAAAAGTCAATCCAACAGCAACAGCAGCGAGAACAACAAGACACAAAGTTCACTGCCCAAAAAGAAAGGCACCAACTTTGCTCACTGTTTCCAAGTACACCAGTTACCATAGAAACCACTTTTGTTGTACAAGATGCCCATGCTAACACTCCAACAGGCCAGGTCCGATGCGGTAGCTAACGAAGCCGAACAACGAACCACGAGTCCCGAGCACAAGAGATTACTGTCCGAGCGAGGGGAACATGATACAACCATAGGAGAATCCAAGAAAAGGAGGAAGCTCTCCGAAAGTCTCGACACGGAGTTGGTAGTCACTGGCAGCAGCGACGACAAAACGTCCAAAAAGATTCAAAATCAGAAGGAAACAATTGATGGTGTCACCATGCTCAAGCCGTCAGACAAGAAAAAGGTGGATCCTACAGAGTTGGCTTCGGCATTTGCCTTAGCTTCCCTTGCGAGCCTAAGTCCGGGAGGCAGTAGCGTAGGTAGTGCCTCTGGAATAAGTACTCCACCAAGGGAATCAAGGGAAGCCAATGTCATTCGAAAAACTGACTCAAAGCTTGATGACGAGGTACGAAAGGCTGCGTCTTTCGAGTCGGAAACACGTTCCCCAAAAGCTTCGGAGCACCCCTTATCCCCGGAACAATTGTCTCTAAGAGAACAAGAAGACCACAGTGCCTCTTCTACGGTTGTGAACTCTCCCGCAGGAAACGCCAATCGAAGAGTGTCATTCGCACCAAACACGAAGTCAGCTGAAGAATCCAAAGTTCCGTCAACGCCTACAACGTCTGCGAGTAGCTCAGGAGAACTCGCAACCTCAACATCACATCGATCGCTGGCAATGCCACAGGAGTCTCCTGGCGGTAAAAATGGTCGTAGTGGTAGAAGTAGCAACAGCAACACTACCATAAATACAAGTCCGAACTCAATGATGCAAATGAGTCCAAGACCTCATCGAATGTACGGTGGACGAGGTCTCCCACCCTTTGTTCGAACCCCACCACAAGTGAACCAGATGAATCATCGTCTCGATTACGGAACACCACCTCCACCACCACATGCTCCTTATCATCATAGACTTCCTCCTCCAGGAACAAATGGGTCGATGCCTCCAGGATCGTTTCGTCATGGACCTCCAGTTCTTCACCACCGACAACAATTTGGATATCCAGGAGCACCACCAGGTCATCGTTTCAGTCCACATCAGCAGTACTTCCCCCCTCGTTACCTGATGCAACCTCCCCTCTTGCACAGAACCAATAGCTATGGCGTGGGAATGGTGCCATCTGCTCCAACGCCACCGAACCAACAGGGTGCCCCGGCCACTACAAAGTGCAATCAATGGGTTTGTGATTATTGCAACGTCGCATCTTTCTCTTCTTACGAGGAAGCTTGTGCTCACGAAGAGATCTGTAAGAAAGCAGGCCCCAAGGCTGCAGCTCAACTCCTTTCCGTAAGTAGAAGTTATAGTTCCGCTTCCATGGATGAAGATTCAGTCGTAAGCAGCAACATGTCAATGATGGTGGGTGGGCATCATCTTCCCGCCAACAATCCCCATCTTCATCCCGCTTTTGGCAATGCAATGGAAGCAGCTCGACGTCATCATCATGCAAGTTTAGCATTGAAGATGGGTCATCAACAGCATCGAATGCAGATTGATGGGAATAACAGCATGATCAGCGGCAGCAACAATGGGAGCAGCAGCAGCAATAACAATCGACCCGGAAAGGCAACACCTGTTTCTGCGGGCAAAGGAAACTCACGCGAGGAGCAACAACCGATGACAGAAGAGGAACGTAGACGCCAAGAAATGCATTTGCATTCATTAGGCGGATACATAGTTTATCCAAACGACGTTGAGATGATTCCACCATACGTACATTTTTTGATGCGCCAAGTAGAACCGTGTTTGTTTACCGAAGCCGATCGTTTCGTGGCACGCTCCAAGGGACCCGTGGGATACCCAGGATTTCAATGCCGCCATTGCCATGGTCATGCTGGACTAGGAAAGTATTTCCCCGTGAGTTCGAAATCCCTCAGCACAAATTCGACCAGTCAAAACATTCATGCGCACATGCTGAAATGTCGCAAGTGTCCCGATAACGTGAAAGAACAATTGGTTCAGCTAAAAATCGAGAAATCCCGTGCTGCACGTTTGGAACCTGGTTGGAGAAAAGTTTTCTTTGATAAGGTTTGGAAACGTTTGCATCGTGAGGCTGGCGATAATGACGAACAAGCAACATGCAAAACGCAATCGAACTGAAAACTTAAAAAGGAGTTTGAAGAGAAGAAATGAAAACAAAGAAAAGATTAAGAGAACGAAAGGGGACTGATGATCGTTGGGAATGGAGTAGAAGTGGAAATGTATTACTGTAAAAAAGAATGAAGGGGGTTCGTTGTGGCAAGAGATCGATAAGAGACAAAACAAACGAGAGCAAGAGACGAAGTCAGAGCATATGTAAGAGTTCTCGACCAAGATCTCGAGACTTTTCTTGTTGCTAGTATCAATGAATGTCCCACCCAGGGTCTTCTTGTGCATGCAGTGGAATACTAGCCTTTGAAAGCTAAACGGGATAAATTCAACGAAGATAATCTATCATTTTTTCTCTCTTTTGTAAGAATCTTAACGTAGCAGATGTTTCCATATGATCTGTTGCAACAAGGCTGCAGTCGTACAATTCTATTCTCTCTGCCTCCTAGAATGATCCCGAAAAAATTACTTCAATATTGGGAGGAACTGATATGACTAGATGTATTTGTCTTTGTGGTAATAATTACAAAAATGATATCATCATTTGTAATGCTGCAGTGAAGAATCATTATGCAAATCACAACAAGATACAAAAATGTCTCTGTGATAGTACTAGCTAGTACACTAATAGTGAGCACTAGTAGTAAGCAATAATCTTACTCTTTATTCTAGTAAAAAACATGCAGTTATATAGCACTAAGAAAGAGTGTATGATTATTTTCCAGATTAGAAACTAAATGTCTTCATTATATTTTTACTAGTAGTTACAATAAGTAGTAGTCTACTAGTATAACACTTCTGTTCTTCTTTCCATTGCTGGTGTTCCTTGTTTTTTGGAGTATATCATATAGAGTTGGTGAACCAATGTACAAAACAGTCATACATTTTGGGCCCTTATTTTGCATAAAATGACTACTTTGACTAAAAAATTAAATACATACAAAATGCACCATGAGCTCATTGGTGTTGAATTTTTTAATCCCACCACCAGTCATGTGACCAAATAGTTTTGCTCACACGTGCCACTAGTATGCGTAGAATATCTGTACTTGTACTAGTACATTTTGAATTTTTAATCCCATGAGTCATTACACAGTAAAAAGATGGCCCAGAATTGACACACAGTAGAAAAACATGTAGAACATTAAGAGAGGTTCAACTCACTCAAACAGCTATAACTTTGTCCCCAACAGACACTGAAGTTTGAAAAGCACATGAATTTAATCCCAGTTTAAACACAATTCTTGTACACTGAACCCGCCCGACATGTTCATTAAATGTTGAGATAGAATGTACAAAAAACACTTGTTGTGATACTAGAATTTATTAGCTCACTTTTACAGTTTAAAAAGTAACAAAGTGTCAAAGGGACAAAAAATAAAACATATTTTTATTGTTTGATTTCTTGCTGGCTCTGGTGATAGATGCTACCCAGTACTAGGAGTGACAGGTGATGGAAATTTTTAAGTATTAATCATGACTGCTGATATTGTATCCCCACTAGTAGGCAAGGTCTCAGAAGAAGTATTCAGGGACTTGTAGTTTTTTTTTTCATGGAGAGGAGGAAGAGGAGAAATGAATACAGGGAAATGGAAAAAATTGACAGCTTTTATGTTGCCAATACCTTGCCAGCACAGGGCTTGCCGTTAGTAGCTCTGCTGCTCAGCTCAGATCAACTACTACACAACAAGGACAAAACTGCAACTGGACAAACAAACTGCATTTTTTTCTTTATCTGGAAAAAATCGAATGAGGGGGAAAATTAATTCTGATTCAGGCCAGCTCACTAGTAAAAGCCCCACACAAAAGTGTTTTGAGTGTCAGTGAGATGCCAGAGAAACTATTCATTGTTATTGAAGTTCCAGGTATGTGTATGAATTCTGACATTGATGCAAGAAGTTTGTAAGTTGGGTACATTGTTTTGTTGAGAACAAAGATTTAGGACGTGCAAGTATTCTTTGAATGACATGACAACATCATCTATTATTATTATAGGAGTGTTCTGCAATTGCATTCCTATGTGCTAGTTGATGCTGTAGAGGTCCCAGAAGAGGAGCTACCAGTGCAAGTGTGGGTAAGTGACATGTGTCAAATGTCAAGACCCAATAGGTAGACTGGACACCATTGAAACCATGTTTAAGAGAGGTATGTACTACACCAACAAGACTAGTGTCAAGACTACCGACTGCTCCCAGCCAATTGACTTGGGGTCCTTTTTCAATGTAGAAAGAAAGGAGAGTCATCATACCACTACCAAATGGACTCTCTCACCACTGAGTTTGCTGCTAGTAGAGAAAGAAGTGAAGAAGCTGAAGATACAAGGACTACTGCTTATTCTTCCAGAGAAGCTATCTTCTGATATTATTGACTGCACTGCAAGTTGTCCTCCTTGAGTCAAGTCAAAAGCATTCTCTAAAGAGTGCAAATTTGTTGACAATGGCTTCACCAGTGGTTTTGATGGATACCTAGATGTTCATGCAGTGTTGCAGACAAGCGATGTTACCTTTCTTGGTAACCTGACTCTGCAAAAGCTTCTTTCATTCCCAAATGAAATCTGCGTGAGTGATTACACTTGGGATGGAAGCATGGATAAGGATGACAATATTTTTTCTGAATCTGGAACAATGAGCAGTGAAGCATGTGTACCAGTTGTAAATTTTATATGCTGTGTCACCAATTCTTTTATTTGCAATGGTTCCATAGTTCTTTTCACTTTGACGAAGCGTATCTGGATTGGAAGACGTGCCAAGAATGTTGGAAAGAGTGTTGGCAGTATGGTATTTATACTACTGGGTCATGTTGAGCTTGTACCAATCTTGAACCTGCACCAGGTAGTTCATTGTCGATTTGATCCTATGGATCCACACAATTGACTTGACTCATTTCATTCACACTCATCACTTGATATTCATTCTGATTGGTCTTAAATTTCATAGTTTGTTGATCCTCGATAAGAGCATTGACTGACTTTGCTTCTAGCACTTGATTTACATCACTATTAGATGGTCACTCCCATAGGTTATGCTGACACCCTTCCAATAAAAATCACCACCACTGAGGTGACTTTTTAGGTGTGCTCTCTCCTCACCCAACTCTACCACATACAATTGCCCATGAGCCTTTGAACAACATACTGTCATTGCACATACTAAGCAACAACTACCAACAACACGTTATCAAAATTACATTTTATCATTTCACCATACTTGCCATTGTTGACATCCTGAAATTTCTTTTAATTCCCACATTCAAAAACCACAACCATCTCACTTTCAAGCACTGACACACGTTGCCATGAAACTCTTCCATCAATAATTCTTGAAGCTTCTCATGAAAACTGACTATTTTACAGAAACAACAGAAATTAACATTGCAACTGTCACGTCATAAAACATCTTTTGATTTAAATCAAAACATCTTTTATTCCCAATACTAGTCTCTTTCATCTTGAATTCCAATGCTTCACAACTACTTCTCATCATGGCTCAAAGAAGATCAGACACACCACATGCTAGTACCACTACCCGTACCTTCCACCCCTAGGCATCCTATGCGCAACAATGGAGAACACAAAATGGATTTTGTCTAGGATGGACAACAAAATTGGAAAGGCCATGCTGCCCAAAACCCAAATCTCAGGTGTTGTCATGAGAGCTAGTACTATCCAGTGACACAAATGCTTTCAAAAATGTTGTTGTTCCAGAAGAGATGAATTGGAATGGAAGATACCTAGTATTTGAAGAGTATATCTGAACAGGATTTTGGTGAAAGAATGAAGACACACAAAGCAGATTCTTTTTTAGGAAGCCTCTATCTCAGTAAAGGAGACTCTGCAAGTGGTATTAAGACAGGAGCTACATTACCAAAGAGATGGAAGGCAGGAAATGAATATTCCAAGATATCCAGCATCACAGAGTTTGGATAGGTATGGATAGGAACAAGAGGGATGAGATCTTGCCAATATTTGATTGGTCTGAGGGAGAACAGACACAGCTCAAAATGCTGCCATGACAAAGGAGCTCATAATGACAGTTTCTTGTCAGACAGGAAATACAGACATCTCTATTAGTATCTCTTTCTTGAAGCAGTATATGCTATTGCTCTCAAACCCTCAGACAATATCACTAAAAATTCAAGAGGTGAATGGGAGTTGAATAGTACTAAACATATTATTTTTACTAATACTACTAGTAGCACTATTACTACTACTAATACCTATTTTTATATCACTTAACCATAATCATCCTTAGTGTCACTAGAAGCCAAGCTGTATATGATACTAGTACTACCAGTAGTAGTGATACTCCTGCTACTAGTAGCACGACGACTACTACTACTACTACTAGTACTCCTATGACCTCCTATTTGTACAAGTAGTTTCAGCATATGAATTGTATGAACCAACTACCCACTGAACCTAATATGTTCATTGAAATGTTAGGATAAATTGTGCCAAATGTTGTCCGTAGGATATCAGACCGTGGGTATGATTCATACATACGATACGTACATACGATACGTATCTACGATTCATACACACCATACATATATGACTCA